CGTGTCCCTCCCTGTTGCCAGGTGCTGACCCTGGCAAGCAACGAGAGGATCCCCCTGAGCCCCACGATGAGGCTGCTGTTTGAGATCAGCCACCTGCGCACGGCCACCCCAGCAACGGTCTCCAGAGCAGGTATCCCCCGGGAAACGAGAAAACCCGCAGAGCCGTGCCCTTGAACACAGGTGCCTCTGGCATCACGTGTGATGTGGCTGTCTCCCAAGGAAGGTCCGAGCGGGAGCCGCCCGTGCATCATGGGAAACTCTGGCCTGATTCCCAGCCCGAATCTGTGTCCACGAGGGTGGCCAGGCACTCCCAGGCCGGGGCCATGGGATTTTCTTCATTCAGAGATGGGAAGGAAAGGGTCCCTGAGCTGGACAACTGTCCTCTGCACAGAAGTGCCTGGAACGAGGCTCCTTGTAGGCCAGTTCTAGCCTCTACGGCAGTGGTGACAACCCAGCATCGAAGTTCTCACTACCTCCTGGTGAGAAATGACAACTTCATACCTTAACTTAACCTCTGGCTCCACGGCCAAACTGATGGGCACAGACTGGGGCACAGGAGAGCGGATTTGACGTCTACCGTAACACCAGAGTTCCTTCTAGGAACGCATGCTGAGGCTGTGAACGTGGGCAGGAGAATAGTCTCTCTCTGTATATATTCATGTCCTAGGGCCGCTGTTATAAGTCACCGTGAACTCGATGGCTTCTAAGACAACAGACATTGATTCCCTCCCTAGGGGAGAACCTGCCTTGCTTCTTCCCGCTCAGGCTGGCGGCCCCATGACTCCAACCCCCACCTCCATATCCACGCGGCCTTCTCCTCTGTGTGTGTCTTGTCTCTTCTGTCTCTTATAGGGACACTTATCAATGTCCCACGCACATAATCTAAGATGATCCCGTCAGGAGATCCCTAATCACATGTGCAAAGGAAGGCCCTTTTGCTGAATAAGGTCACGTCCACAGGCTCTGGTTTCCTCCTGAGCCTGGACTTGGCCCTGTCATCCTTGCCAACACTGCTTTCTCTCAGCTCTTCTCAGGCCGTCGGGCAGCAATCCTACTTACCCTCTCAGACCTCGGCCAGGCCTCTGTTTCTTTGAAGTCCAGTCCTCTGTACGTTTTCTACACAGAGAAAGGAACTCCGTGGGCTGAGGAATATAGTGGCATTTATGGAAACCTAACCAAATTCTTGACGTTCCCAGGAATCCTGTACATCAATCCCACGGACCTGGGCTGGAACCCTCCCGTGAGTAGCTGGATTGACAAGAGGGAAGTCCAGACAGAGAGAGCCAACCTCACCATCCTGTTTGACAAGTACCTCCCGACCTGCTTAGACACACTCAGAACCAGGTAGGCCGGGAAACACGGAAAGTGACTATTTATTTATTTTTTTATTTTTTTTAATGTTTGTTTAATGTTTGTTCTCGCCTCCAGTGAGAACATTACATGTGTCCGCAGAGTGGGGGGGTCCGAGGTTTGCAACCTGCTTTCTTGCCAGTGGACGCGTCCTTCTGGGTGTCAGGCTCCCGGCCTCGTAGTTGAGCCCCGCCCAGCCATCCGAGGTCGGTGCCGGGGAGGCGACGTGACTCAGGGACCCGTCGTTCCCGAACATTCAACAAGTCAACAAACGCCAGGACTGCGTTTCCGGGAAATTGAGGCCGCTGCTCAGAACGACCCCTGACTCTGTGGTTCACTGGCCTGTGGCGCCCCGGGGTGGAGCAGAGCTGGCCGGCGTGGGGGCCGAGGTGGAAGGGACCCCCGCGCCCCCTATCCTGCTGCGTGCCCCGCCCCTTGCCCGATACAGCCTGTCTCTAAGAGTTAGGCCATTTCCCTCTCTGGACAATTAGAAGAAGAGATGCTAAACTCTGTGTGTGTGTGTGTGTGTGTGTGTGTGTGTGTGTG